ATGTCATGCCTATCATTCCCCTCCTACTTTTATTAATCTTAGTCACACATTCTCCAAGACCTGAAATCCATCATGTGTATCTGAACTGAAAGCCTTTTTGTCTTCAAAACTCCTGTATCAGAAAGATCTGCCCCTCCTAAATACTGTACCTCGGCTGCTAATTTAACAAGCTAGCTTGTGGAATCGACAGTCCCTGTGACATGAGGAATTTATGAATGGAACTGAAGCCACTTCAGACCTTGCTATGATAGCAATTCTACCGCACCAGTGAGGTGTGTGCTTTCTATATTTGATGCTAAATTTTGCACTTGAAGTTTAGAAGTCTAGAATACCTTTCACTCTTCTCTAGTCTGCTGTACTTCACTCATGGGTCATTGTTAGATTGTGCTACTGATGCGTTATCAAGTACTTCCATTTATTCCCCACCCTATATAAAGAGCAGAAACCGTGAGGCTGGGCTTCACCAATGGGGTCCGTAGAAACAAGTCAGGCCATGCTCCAAAGAAATCTCTTAGGAAGAAATCTCAAAGTTATTGATGCTCATCAGTCTGGAAAGGCTTATAAAAACGTTTCTAAGGATCCACTGACATGTAGAAAAATGCCTGAAAAACAAGGTGTGAGCGACTCAGTCTGACTTCAGCAATCACAGGAAAAATCCAGTTGCTTTTTCTGATAACTATACCTGAAAGTATTTAGTGTTTAATAATGAGATTTTTATGATGTGTTGATAGCCATTAAGCAAATAATATAATAAGTGATGTGTACCTGTAGGAGTAATCTGTGGCTGCTGATTACAAGTTAGCATTGCGTGATTACAGTTGCAGTTCCTATTAGGTAGGTAGGTCCCTCTTTCAGGTCAGAGGCCCCTGGGGGAATGGGGGACAAGGGCCACCTCTTTTTTCAACCATCCGACACTGGAGGGGATGTCTGCACCACACTCCAGCCAGCCTCTTAACCCCTGCGCTGCGCATTTGGAAAGCAGGCTGAGTGGACCTGGGAGCCGGCTGGAAGGAATTGGAGCAAGCTTCCCCCTGGCTGGGCTTGAACCCGGGACCTTCCAGTCAGGAGCTAGACCCTTGCTGCCTGAGGTTATAAGGGGCCAGGAGACTGTGATTTGCAGTGATCTGGGAGGAATGCGGTTTTCAAATGTGCACAGAAAGCTTCAGGAAACCCCAGGCTTGTTCACAATTTTAGATTGTCGGTCTACTTATCCAGCTTTATGTACAATAACGTGCATTCCTAAAAAGTGATCCCATCTTACTAAACTAACAGAGCAGACTGGTCTTTGTTACCATTTATTCTTGCTGTAGATGTGTGAAGGGGTCTAGTAGCAGAGAGCCTGGTGTTACTTTTTCCAGGGGTCCCTACAGACTACAGACCACTCCTCCCACACCCTGTGAGATTCGAAATAGATACTTTGAGTTGCACATTACATGAAACTACTTATCCATTACACCAAATTAAATTTCTCTCCTGTAGGATGGAGGGCAGGGTTGAGCATATTTTAGGAATAACTTCAGCTGACCTTGTGCTGAATAAGCCTATTTAAAGTATCAAATGAACAGTGACATATTAAAATGCTCACAGATTAAGGGACTTGAACAGCTGTTATAGCAATAAAAAGTGAGAATATGAAACAAACTCTTGGTTGGTATAAGACCTTATGGGAAATGTAAGGAACACATCTTGATGTGACTGCTGTTCTGTAAAACTAGGCTTGTGATGCTTATGAAGACAATAATAAGAATAATCTGAAGAAATACTTCCACTTATATACACCTGTCTAAAATGGCTTCAGCTCTTATTAAAGTGTCAAATTAGGCAGCTTTGTAAATATTGTAATGAACCTTTAGACAGAACTGAAGTGGATTTAATAATAGTAACACTCAAATATGACAAAGCCAAGATGCATTCACCTATACAGAACTGATGCCAGTATAGTTCAGTGACTAAATCGGTTCACAACCTGCAATAATTTTAATGTAACACAAATGCTTAAGATTTACATTTCATGTTGAGATTTCTAGTGTGATCTTTATACTGTCTATATTGAGATTGTGAACTACTATGCAAAAAGGAGAAAAAAAGAATAAATCCCACCATGATAAACAAAAATATATATTGACTAACACTTGATGCCTTAATATGTATTGAATTCCAACACTCAGTTATTCTGAGTATCAGGAGCTCTCTTCACCTATGTTGAATATACAGTATTAAGCGATTGAATACTGAAACAGTATTCTATGACAATGACTCATTACTGTCAATACAATAAACTTGAGCACTGAGCCAGTAAGATGGGCTGGGTTAAATGGTTTGGAAAACTGGGCAAGCCTTCCTGAAGGCTAACAATCCCATAGAAAATTTGAAGATAAACCTATTAGTCTGCACACACAGCTGAAGCCTTCACTACTCATAAAAACAGCATATACGGATTATGATAAGGAATTGCAGAAAGAAGCCATTGTTCTGAGTGCAGGGCAAGAGCAATTTGATCTTAGATTGCTGCTTTAACAGAACTGCCTACTTGGTAAACACTCATATTGTACTGATAAAGGTGTTAAAATGGATACGTAGGGCAATGTGTTTTTTTTTTCTTTCAACTTGTTTCAATGTTAGTGTGGGTAAAAAGAGGTTAGTTCTCCTCCAAATGTTCTCAAAACGATCATGTAGTTTTACTTGTGCAGTAAGCCTGCAAGCACATCTTAGAGGATTCACCCATTTCGTATGCTTTTAATAAGTGAATTGTGCAATAATGGGGTGAGTCCACTTGGTGGTGCAGTCACAATGTGTAAAATGGAACAATGCTGCTTGGTTTCTGGAATGTCCTGGTTAAAATATGGAGTAGCAACCTAGAAAGCATACTTCAGACAGTGCACAAGCATGTTAAGTGCTTGCATTCCTTGTACAGAAGTTCAAGCATGCTAATGATATGATGGTATCCCACTTCGTGAAAATTAAGTCAAACTTACATGCAGCTCACGGGAAGTCTATGAAACCTGGAACTTTAACACTGCAGATCAGACTGAAACTGAAGAGAAGACGGAGATACTTCCAGGGGTGCGTTTCAAAACGTATTTTCTTAAGAACAGCTCATACAAAAATGCAAGTTTAAAAGTACAAAAATAACAATAGTAAAGCAAAAACAAATACAGGAAAAACTACACAGTTGTGGTTACAATGTTACAGTTCATTTCTTTATACAACCAGATGTATAACCACAAAAGACATAAAAGAAACCGAGAGACTGTCTCAGCAGGCTGCTCCACATTGCCCACAACTGAAACCATTGCACACCACTTTAAAAAAACCTCCAAAGCTTCAATCACAGTTTTAAGCCTGCACAAGAGTTATGTGAAGAGGTTAATTTCACTGGGTAGTATTACCTTAAAATTAGGTTATTTACTTATTTACCTGTGATAAGATTAAAATTCATGGTCCGTTTCTGAATGTTACTGCAAATTCGTCTGTACTTGAATCTGCAAACTTCGTCTGACTGTGGAGCAGCCTCCATTTGAGTAGAAATGGCAATCTTTATAATAACCTTTATAAATGATTAAACCTGCAGCCTTGAAAATTAGCTTACCATCTTCAAATTAATCTTTAACTCAACAAACTACATCCAGTAGAGTGTCCTCTCTCCTGGAGATCATTGAAAGGAAAAAAAAGTGCTGCACAAACCCCCATGATTGTTTCAATTAAGCTTAGTCAGAAAGACTCAACCGTTTCAGTGAGTTGCTAAAAAAACTTGACTTATGGCAACAAACGTTTTATATTTTAACAGGGGCCAGTTTATCTTTTTTTGATCTTCATTTTCAGTTCTGTAATTGTTCTGTAATTTTCTTTTGTCTCATGTCAAAGTCCAGGCACAGTCCCATTTCCTCCCAGTGCTTAATTAGCTTATGAACAAAAACCTGAGAGTGGAACACCAGATAACCATTTTTTTTTCCCATCTAGACATCACAGAAAGAAAAAAAAAACCTTTTGTTAATACTGTGAGGATCCCTCAATATCTTACTGTACATCTGGGATTATTGTAGTCTAGGAAAACAACTCTTTTTATTCCCATTCTCTGAAGACGCTGCTCTTTGAGGACATTAGAAATGATACAGCACTTCACAAGGAGCTGGTGTCCATCAGGCACAGTCCCCCTCCTCCACATCATTCAGCTGGTATCTAGTGCAACAGTGCGGATCAAGGGAAGAGCCCGAAACGCAGGCTGTCCTGCCATAGGCTCACACCATTCACCCTGCTCCTATTTACAAATTTACACTGCCTGCAGGATGTAAAATGGGTTCCTTCTAAAATGACAGAAGTTGAGAAGCACAAGACCGTCACAATCAATATTTACATTCATTAAAAATTACCAAAAAAGAGATATAAAAAATGTATCCACCTCTAAGTATCTGATAATATTGGTGAAGTAAAGTAAATTCTAAACGCATTATAGTGTTAGAAAAGTGACAAAGCCTGAACATTGATGTTAGCATTTTTCAGTGTACTGTATATGGAGTGTACTGCTGAGCCTAAGAACATTTACTTACATTAGTAACACTGACGGTGTATGTACTCATTTCATTAGACAATCAGAGAGCCTGTAATTATAATACACTTACTAGCAACATGTAGGAAATCACCTCGGAATATGCACACAAACCAGTACCACCAGTGCTTAACATTGCAGAAATACCGCATCCAGCTCCCACTCATCAAACCGACCGCAGAGTAGCAGGACACGGTCATCGGAAAAGGCAGAATTCCTTTAGCCCGGTTTAATAATAATAATAATAATTGCTTACATTTATATAGCGCTTTTCTGGACACTCCACTCAAAGCGCTTTTACAGGTAATAGGGACTCCCCTCCACCACCACCAATGTGCAGCATCCACCTGGATGATGCGATGGCAGCCATAGTGCGCCAGAACGCTCATCACACATCAGCGATCAGTGGGGAGGAGAGCAGAGTAATGAAGCCAATTTATAGAGGGGGATTGTTAGGAGGCCATGATTGATAAAGGCCGATGGGAAATTTGGCCAGGACGCCGGGGTTACACCGTACTGTAAATGTTTACAGCATTTCAATGAGCCCAATGAAACGGATGTCAAAACTGCGTTATGAACACAATCACTTCTTAGTGCAAACCTCCGCCAGAGTTCTGAATTTCGGCCCCAGTGTGTTGAGAAAGTCGTATCCTTCGTCAACAGCCTGGTCGCTGCAGCAGCCCACAGATCCAGCCACCGAGCCCCTGCCTTCAAACTGATAGGAGTGAATGATGTCGTCGGCGTAGCGGTCATCCTGCTCTGTCAGGAAGGAGTTCAGTTTCTGGAAAACAAAGAGTGTTACTGAGAAACATGCCCACACAGAGACAAGGGTGTTATTTCTCTAGTGGTGCCTGAAGGATATATGGTACAATGCTGTTCAGGATAAATGAGAAGTCAATAAAGTCTCCCTAGGTAAGAGGGATGTGAAAAGAAGCTATTTCAGGTCACGCAGAGGAATTCGCATAGACAAATGGCTGTTTAATATAATGATACTGTACACGGGCTGTACATGAAGTACATATTTGCTTGTTAAAAATACCAAAACATCCAATGTTGTCTCATCGAAATGCTTCATAAAAGAACATCACACTTATTCATTCAATTAAAAAAATAATTTCAGCTGAGCTAAAGGTTTTGCAAATGCTTTCAAAATGAAATGTGTAAAAAAAGAAAAACAAAAAAAGATTAATGTTCTTGAACCATGGCTTTCAACTTCTTCAGACAACTACAATCATCGATAAAAGATGTGAAGGCCAGGTCTTTATTCATTCTGCTACAATTAAAATGTTTAAAACCCGTCTGAGGGGGGAGGAGCAGAACACAGTTCTTAATGTGCTATTCATCACACCAGCGAGACAGAAGAAAGTGACTGTCTCAGTCACTAAGCGCCGAGATTTCTGATCAGATAGTTCTGTTGCATTGGAAGACGTCTGAAATGGAAATCTAATGGGTAAATTGATTCTTAAAATGTAAAGAGCTTTAGAAAAATATATAACAAGGATGTAACTGCTGAGTTATGTGCAGATTGTCAGAAGACGGTTCGTCATGTGCTGTCTAGATGACCAAATTAGCCGAGTGCAACTGCTAAGCTTGGCAAAATATGTATTGGCGCTTCTTCTTTCGTTTCTGTTGTTAACGTTCTTGTCGTAAGGAAAGGGGAAGTATTCGATGGGGACTAAGTGCTGTATTTTCCGCTGCATTACAACATCTTCATAAAAAGGCTGTGCTGCGTGTAGCAAGTTGAGTCTCTGACGCACTCTGCAGAGTGACAGCAGGACTCCCAATATTTCAATATTGAAATAAAGACCTTACTCAGGTGAGAACTCTCTCGAGGCTTCCTTGATAAGTATATTTCCATGACACGTCCCAGTTCTACAGGGGTCTGACTTTTTAGATAACGTGGAATCACAGAGAATCTCACTATTAGAAGTCCCGTATTCTCCAATTTATATAGTACCGCAAGGTTTTATCAAAGCACAAAAACCACTGGCCTTCCTCTTAAGATTCATATCTTCAAAGACCCCAGAATGCGACCAAGCAAAAGTGTGAATGTGCCACTTTTCCAGACTGGCATTAACTGTTGTGAAATGGGACCAAGCTGTAGGAAAAATGCATCAAAAGCAGCGCGTCTCGGAAAAACCATTCCGAACCCATCCCAGAGCCTCACCTTGCTAATGAACAAGCCGTTGGCCCTCCAGGTGTTGGTGTGCTCGGCCAGTTCACCGTGGACGCCTCCATACTGCTCCTCCAGCATGAGCTGGGAGGCATTGTAGTTTCCAGCGCCGCTGGGGTAAGCGCTGCTCAGAAACATGTTCCCGGACGCTTGGTAGGTACTCTGCATAGTGGAGAAATTGTTGGAATTCAAAGTTCCTCCCTTCCCGCTGCCGTTGATGAAGACCTCCTTCTGATCCAGCCCGGCTCCGCTCACAGCCGTCCTCATGATGTTGGAACTCTTTGAGAGGCAAAAACAAAAAGGTTGGTAAATCGAGGGGGGATTTTGCTGGACGGAATTTACACAGGTTTTACAACCTGGAAAACAATCATTTGCACGCCTAGTTTGACAAGGTACAGCTAGAGCACAAGGCGTTGAAACAAGGTGACCTTCTGGTTCACATTCAAAACTGCATAAACTTCAGAAACCTCAGGGGTGCTGTGCTGGTCACCAGGTACTACAGCTCCCATCCACTCAACTATTCTACTCCCCTCACATCACATTCTGTTTTAAAGCAAATCTACAAACCAGTAACATCATCTTGCCGGGTTTCTAGTCTTTCACAGGCCTTTTCACATACAACTATGTGAAAGTGGTTGAAGAAAGAGACAGAGCTGTCCTGCCACAAGGTACAGTATAAGAAGAGGAAGACCTACAGAGACACCATTACTGAACTCCACATCTGATCTGCAATTCTCACATTCTCTTAATGAGATGATCACGGGTCCTGCAGGAAAGTAAGCATGACCTAAGGGACACCAATGAGAATCTCAGACTATAAATATTGCCTCCACGTGGCTGGGCAGCTTGTTCCACACTCCCACCACCCTTTGCATAAAGAAGTGCCTCCCGTTGCCCATTTTAAAAGTACTTCCAATTTTGTTATTCTGATGAAGCCCGTCAAAAAGAAATTCATTACAAGCAAATGACTTAAAAAATGAGTACAGTGAACTGCAGGCAGATGAACTACTGCTTTTTTTTAATGCGTTGTTTAGGTCATAGAAAGCAAACGGGTGCAACTGTTTTGGTATCAAAATGTTTCAGGCAAAAGCAACACGGACTCTGCCCACGTTTGGGACTTTGTAAACAGGTTGAGTTTTCCCACTTTTTGTGCGAACAATGAAATCCAACATCAAATATTTCCTCAATCTCACAAAATCCCCCTTTTGAAACAGAAGACTCCCCTTTCTTAAAATAGAAAACCCATTTTTCTGGAAAAGGAGTTTCCTTTTCAATAGTGGTAGCGGAGCATGACACGCTCAGGAAACTTGTCAGAAAACGCAAGCCTGGTGGAAACGAGGCAGACGGTGGATCATGACGAATACACCTTGCAGCTCTGCTCTGAGACGTCTCCCCAGCTCTAACACTGGTGCTTGAGGCACAGCAAGAGCAGGGAAATATAAAAAACGCACTTTGTACACCAGGGTGGACTAAACAGACCAGCTAGGCCCTCTCAGTTTCCAGTAGGGAGCTGTGTCAGCAAGCTTAACCTGCAAAGGAACGTGAAAAGGTTTATTCCATGCTGAAATGAGAAGGAAAAAAAAATGTTTCGGTTGTGGAGTCTTCTTCAGGTATAACATCGGTAGAAGGTTCCTGAAGATCCTGAAGAGGCTTCACAGCCGAAACGTTGTGACTTTTCTCTTCAGCAATGGGATAAACTTTTATTTTTCTCACTTTCTTTTATTTTTCTCATCTTCTTCTAAGGCATGGTACCGCGGTGTGAAGAAAGCCTGTGCAATACTTCGAAAGATCGCGCACGACACGATATAGAAAGTAGTGGAGGGACTAACTGGTAGGACTGCCAGCGAGACTAACAGGGCGACATTGCCTGGGACAGTCTGTCCCCAGCATTGTTCTGACAAGGAAAAGAAACTACTAAGTGAAACTCCCAAAACACACATCTCACTTTTCAAACCTGCCTTGAAAAACCTGTCTTGTCCCAGATAACACGTTTTGAAACATACAACACTCACTACTACAAAACATCATATTATCTACCAAGTACACATGGACTCCTAATGTTATGTTAAATATAACAAAAGTGTTCCTATGGTAATGGTAATGTTACACAGGCAAGAGACACAAAGCCTAGCACGTCCGAATTCCCACTGCTCCTGTATTTAAGTACCTGTTGCTGACTATTTGCAAAGCACTCTTTATTATTTAATCTGGTTGATCCCCCTGAGCATGTAGACATGCAATCAACAGATGGAAGGTCACTGACAACATATTTTCTGTGTATACTGCCCTGTGCCTTTGAAAGTCAACATCTAAATGAAGAGTTTCGCCTGCTTCTAATCAAAGAAACAAGACACTCTGACACACAGAAATGGGGAATGTCTACTACATTCGAGAAAAGGTGAGCACTACAAACCTGATGAGGAACACAGAGATGTCAAAGGTCTGTCACATTTTCTTCTCTGCAATCACTAAGTAGTGAAAACCTCATGAAGCAGCTGAAATCAGTTGCCATACAGACATTTCTTAGTGGCTTTTTGTTAATTAGAAAGTTATTTAGTTGCTTACACATTAGTGACTGATTGCGTCCATTAGTTTGAACTGGTTGGACACCTAGGGCTTAGTATTTAACTGAACTCTACCGACGTCATCTGCGTTCGCTATCGGAAGTTGGAGGACAGGGCTTTGCCTATCTGCAAAACCACACTGATATCGAGGCTGCAGACTGTACTCACACCCACCATGACCTCTTCGCCCGGTGCCTCGGTATTGGACTTCAGGAGCATGCCGTCGGTCGCGTCACTGGCATCAATGTACACCTTCTCTCTCTTCGTTCCGCATGCAAAAACCAGAAAGACGCCTACATTTCACAACACAAAGCGGAAAAATTGTTATCTTGCCACAACACTCAAGGTGTACAATTAATCCAAGACTCCAAGATTGAACATTTCTGCTCGATATCCGAGTTCATGTTCAAGACTATCAGGGTTTTGTTTTGCATCACGCCAGTGCATGTTGCCCTCTATATCTACTGTAACTTTCTGTGTTTTTACTCTGTCGTACCCGTGAGTCCAGTACAGTTGTGTTTTTACTCTATCGTTCCCGTGAGTCCAGTACAGTTGTGTTTTTACTCTGTCGTACCCGTGAGTCCAG